ATGCTACCAATTGGAGAGGGCTTCCTCAGTACCCCCTCAATCTAAAGTAGTTTCCTTCCCCCATCACTCTCCAGCACGTGTTTGCTTAATTTTCCTTGACTGCATGTATCACTATGTGAAATTAGCTTCTTTATCCACTGCCTGTCTCTCCTATTCCCCACCGTAATACACACTCCGCGGGCACAGATCCTTGTCCATCTCACTCGGGGCTGCATGCTCAGAACCTAGAGTGGAGCCTTGCATGCAGCAGACACTCCAAATATGAATGTTCAATGTACAAATGTTTGAATGTTTCCCACAGAGCAGCCCCTGACTCAGGCAAAAAAAAAAAAAATTGAATGTTTTCTGCAGTGAATCCCCCAGTACACTAGGTCCTGGGCTGTGATCTTGTGGAGAGAAATGGCTGTAGAGGTAAGAAGGCCAGGAAAGCAAATGATCATTAATGGAGGAGGTTTCCTGAAGCCAGAGCTAGGGGTGCGGACTGGAGTTCCCATCTAAAGGAGACATGATCGGGGTAGACCCACAACCTGGTGCTGCCCCGACAAGCTGGGTCCCTTCCTTCATCCCTCCCTTGCCCCACCTTCTCCTTCCTATTTGTTCATCAACACCTTCTGTGGCAAACACGAAAGGTGAAGGGTGGGGTGGGATTGCCAGTTTCACATCCTTTATCAGATAATCAAGTGACAATTTTCTTCTTGGGTGTGAGGCCCAGGAGATACAGGAGAAATGTTAAAGAAGTTTCAAAGATTGTTGAAGAAACACAAGACAATCTGTATGTTTTCAGTTCTCTGTTTCTGTGTGTTTTTTGGTTTCATAGCCACTGAAACATTTGTTCAAAGCCACGCTTGGACAATTTCTTGCTGGATAACCTTGGGTAAATTACCTAACCTTTCTGTGCTTTGGTTTCTTCCTTTTATTTTATTTATTTATTTTATTTTTTGTTACTCCTCACTGGAGGATATTTTTTTCCATTGATTTTTAGAGTGAGTGGGAGGGGGAAGAAGAGAGAGAGAGAGAAACATTCATGTGTCACATCAATTGGTTGCTTCCTGCACTCACCCTGACTGGGGTCTGGGATAGAACCTGTGATGACCCAAGTATACGTCATGCCCTTGACCAGGAATCGAACCTGCTTAGACAGATGCTCTAACCACCGAACAACACTGGCCAGCACTGATTTCTTCTTTTTAGAATAACCATACTTCTTGGGTTGTGTATTAAAAAAGGAAAAGTATTCCAAGCTCCTAGACCAGAGCCTGGCACGCAGTGGTCATTCACTGGGGTAGCAGTCACCTACCTCTTGGCTTGCTCTGTCTTCCCCCCTCCTAACTCACTGTGCTCAGCTCCACCTCTGTTCCTTTGCTCCTGCAACCATCTGCCACCCTCCAAAATGGGGGTGTAAAAAACTCATTTCCTAAGGTCTTAATCTCATCAGGGATTCAAGGAGCTTCCAGCATCTTGGAGGTAACCAAGTGGCTGACTTTGTGGCAGGGAGGGGTAGAAGGAGGTGTCAGGGCAGGCTGGTACTAAACAGATGGGGAGCTAGTGGCAGGAAGGGCTAGGCTTTCCTGTCTGACAAAAACTGACCCTCCCCTTTTTCCAGTCCCCCTCAGATATAGCCTTGAAAATGTTGATGTTGAAGCACATAATAAACGCAAGAACCCAGCCACCTTGTAAAAATGGAGATAGTAGATTTAAAATTTTATTCTCTTTTGCTCCTCTCCTCCTTGTCATCACGGTCCTCCTTTTGCTGTGATCCTTTTGGTCACACTGCCCCTTTGTGACACGCCCTCTTTAGGGATGCCCAGATTGTATCAGCCTGCAATGGCTGGGGAGGTGCTGCCCAGTTCTGAGCCCCTCTTAATAATCCTACACAGGGCTAATGAACTCCTAGAAACCTTTCCAGAAGCTTTCATTTGACACTCTGCCTCCCTTCTCTGAAGTTCTACTAGTCACGGTTTACAAAGGCCCAATACATACACTGTCCTGTACTGTCACTGTTCCCTGTGATTGATGAAACATTCAAACCTGTAGAGAATTTTTATGAGTTTATTTGAGTCCTGGCCAGTGTGACTCGGTTGGGTGTCGTCCCGTGCACCAAATGGCTGCCAGTTCCATTCCCGGTCAGAGCACATGCCTGGTTTCCAGCTCAGTTCCCGGTGCGGGGTGTGAAGGAGCGTCAATGCTGTTGTTTTTTCTCTCTCTCCCTCTCCCTTTCTCTCTTTTTAAAAATCAATAGAAAATATTTTTTAAAAATCAGTAGAAATGTTTTTTAAAAAAGTTTGTAAGCCAAAACTGATGATAATTGCTGGGAAGCAAGATCTCAAATGCTCCAGAGAATGACAATTTCGAAGTTTCTTTTATGCATTTAAAATTAAGCAGGGCCCGGCTGGTGTGCTCAGTGGTGGAGCATTGACCCATGAACCAGGAGGCCATGGTTCCATTCCTGGTCAGGGCACATGCCTGGGTTTCAGGCTTGATCCCCAGTGGGGGGCATGCAGGAGGCAGCCCATCGATGATTCTCTCTCATCATTGATGTTTCTAACTCTCTCTCCCTCTCCCTTCCTCTCTCTGAAATCAATAAAAACATATTTAAAAAAATAGAATAAAATTAAGCAGGGAAACGTTGGCTGGTGTTGCTTCGTGGTTAGAGTCGCAAGCGAACTGAAGGGCCTCGGGTTTGACTCCTCATCAAGGGCACGTACCTGGGTTGCAGGTTCCATCCTGCCTTTGATGTTTCTCTCTCCCCCTCCCTTCCACTCTCTCTAAAAAAAATTCAATGGAAAAAATATCCTTGGTGAGAATTAACAACTACAATAAATAAGTAAGTAAATACAGTGGTACCTCGGTTTTCGAATGTGATCCATTCCGGAAGACCATTCAAGTTAGGAAACGTTCGAAAACCGAGGGATCCACAGCCGACAGGCAGGCCTCAGGATCTTGTCTTCAGCAGAAGCCGTGTGGCATGATCCACTTTCCAGGGGTGTTTGAAAACCAAAGCATTTCCTTCTGGGTTTACAGCGTGAAATGTTTGTCAAGGGAGACGTTTGAAAACCGAGGTACCACTGTAAATAAATAAAATTAAGCAGGAAAGTAAGAAAGAGTACATGAGGGCAGGAGAAAGCAAGATGGGGATTGGATTATAGCAGCGATTTTCAACCAGTGTGCTGCGGCAGGCACTCTGGTGTGCCACAAGAATTTTTAAAAAAAATATATCTTTATTGATTTCAGAGATAGGAAGGAGGGGAGAGAGAGAGAGAGAGAGAGAAACATCAATGATGAAAGAGCCATCATTGATTGGCTGTCTCCTGCACACCCCAACTGGGGATCAAGCCCACAACCCGAGCATGTGCCCTGACTGGGAATCGAAGCACGATCTCCTGGATCCTAAGCTGATGCTCAACCACTGAGCCACGCCTGGCCAGGCACCTTTTTTTTTTTAGAATGACAAAAAATATATTTTTTGATGTGCTGCAGAATTTTAGTAATTAATTTATGTGTGCCATGAGATGAAGAAAGTTTGAAATAGCTGGGTTACAGGATAGCTAACAAGATTCTGTGCTTTCCTGAGGGTAGTTAAGCTTTTGTCAAAGGTGTATTAATCTAGATGCACAAACATTGGACAAGGCTTGCTTAAGGGAAAGACAAACATTTTACTAAAAAGTTATATACCTGGGGTGTGACTGCTCACCATGACCTGCCCAGTTAGGAACTGGACTTTATGGTCAGATCACCCTGTGAGGTTACTTTTGGTAGAACCCCCTTTCGTCCCCACCTGTCTGTCAGTGGTCAGTCTTGTCTCTCTCAGTAGTGTAAGCCCACTGAGGCCAGACCCTGTGGCCTGAACATCCTCTATATCCCCATGGTCTCTCTGGCTCATGCAGAGCACACAGTGTGAATGAGGTCAACAAATGTCCACCCTGTGAAAAAGAATCCTGTCTTTATCTATTTGAACAAGGGAGGCCCTTGAGGGGTCTGTGGCTGGCCCCAGGTTTTGTTTGCTGGGGATGTTTGACCCTACAGCCTCCTTGATGAGAGAAGATGGATAGTTCAGGGGTCAGGAGCCCAGACAATGGATTCAGACAGGTTCTTGCTCAGCCTCTTACTAGCTGTGTGTGACCTTGGACCAGTCATTGAACCCTTTTGAGCTTCACCTGCAAAATGCAGCAGCACCAGTTTCTACCTCTAGGACTATTGCGAGAATCAGTAAGGGTGATGGATTTAGACTGTTTTATGGGGTTCCAGGTGACACAGTTCGAATATTGCATTAGGAAAGATAGAGGAGGAAGACTGGTCAGCAGCCCTGGAAAAGAGGCTGGTGGTGGGATTTTATACGTGGGTGGAAAACTCTGGGGGAGGGGGTGCAGCGGAATATTATTAAGTTCTTTACTTTTCACACGAGTTCAGCGCTGCCCCTCACACCATCTACCCTGCTCACTCCCGAGTTTAATACCAAATATTAGAATATGGTAGAAAAAAATCAATTAAAACGGTCACGGATGGAACAGACGCAGACCGCTCCGCGGTCCGGGCTGCGGGGCGCTTTTTCCACG